TTTTTCTGTCTTCTTCTTGCTATATATATATACAAATTTAACAGTTCAAACCCCAAGAGGTTTATTCATGGACTGCCTTCAAACCCACACATCATTTTTTTTTAAAGTGAATAGACAACAATTTAGAAGATATATTTCTTATAATTACCAATTCTTTTAACAAAATGTAAAATAACATTTAAAAAAATAATTGTCCTAATATGAAATAAGAATAGATCACTCTTATTCGTCCCCATCGTAGAGGATAATGGTTAACACTTAGTAATCATTATTATTGAAAGAAATACAGATTAGGAACATACTGTGCTGTGTCTGACTTGACAACCAAGAAACTTAACCTATCCTTGAGGAAGCCGCCACTTCATGAAAGAAGCATGCAGAGGATACAGTAATTACCAGTCGGGATATTTTGTATACAAGCTGGGCTTGTCATCTTGAGCAAGTACACATTCAATGGACTCAAGTTACTGTAAATATGCTCAGAACAGATGAGGAGACAGAAACACTTGTGAAAAACAGTGGGTGGAGAGGTCAAAGGTCCATCTATCTTACAATTAGGTCTAGAAAATGTTTTTAAAACTAAAGTAGAAGAGCTATTAAGATTAACTCCTCAATTTCCAATTATTAAATGAACTCACTACACCTTGTAAAAGTTAACTATGCTATTTTTCTGTTCATAAGGCTTGTTTTCCCAAATTTTCAAAGTGTAAATTTTGAAAATAAAAACGAGGGGTGGGGCATCTTATGTGTGAAATGTTGCAACTAAATATACAAATAAATATATGCTGCTATCCTTATCTATTTTTCTTGAAAGCTATAATCCTATCTTGATAAACGGAAATGAATCCTGCACAGTTGGTAGATTGGTGAAAATTTATTTGGAAACTGAGGAGATATGGTTGTACAGATGAATGATGAGAAATACCATGGACAGATAAAAAGAGTGATGAAGATGTCTTGAAAGAAACTGAAGAGATCATTCCTTTTATCTTTCTACTTCTTTCTAAGAGTGTCGATCAATACATTGTCTCTTTATGAATGACTCTGAAGAGAACTCATTGACCACACCAGAAAGAGACAAGCTACTTTCTTTGGTCATGTGATGAGAAGGAGAAAACTGGACTACATTGTCACAGCAGGAAAGTTGGAGGGGAGGAGAGGCAGAGGGAGAACAAGAGAACAAATGCTGGACATTTTGACATCATGGCATGGAGGATCATCTTTGTCAGAGTTGACTGAAAATACACGAGACAGAAGTTTGTGGATCGACATGACTACCAAGACCACACGGCATGGACTGTAAGAAAAAGAACCCTATCCCACCTCCCAGCCTTACCTCACTACTGGTCGTAACTATAGAGAGGGTGACTCAGAAGCTCGAGAGACAGAAGTGCTGCAGTATTCAGTAGATGTTAAAGAAATTAATATCTGGACCTGAGAGTGATGCATATTTTTTTAAAGGTACCTGCCTGTCTGCACTCTTCTGTTTGCTTGTTTGCTGTAGTGATAGCTTTCTTTATATGTAAACTCACTAACTACAGCTTTACTGTGACTTAAGACCTCTGTAAATTTTACATTGCTTTGATTTTTACCTTCTTTCTGTGGACTCTCTTTGCCTCTGAATAGGCAAATGTGACCTTATAATCCTTACTGCTCTTATGGTTATTCTTACAGAGCACAATTTAATATTTCAACTAGGTCCAACCCCCACACATATTTACCGTAATTATGATACTAAATATATTTGTATAGTTGTTCTGTTTGACATTTAAATATACCGTATGTACTAAATATACCAGTTTTTGAATTTTTAAAACAATATCATAGTAGTTCTGCTTGGTGTTTAAAATCTGTATTTCTTAATTTGGAGCTAAAAAATGAGGGGGGGGGGGGTTGGGTGTCTGATACATCTTCTTATACAATGGATCATCTTATACATGGGGACATCTTTAACATGAGGTCATTCTATACATATAGTCGTCTTATACAGGGGATCATCTTATACATGGGGTCATCTTTAACATGAGGTCATTCTATACATATAGTCGTCTTATACAGGGGATCATCTTATACATGGGGACATCTTTAACATGAGGTCATTCTATACATAGTGTCGTCTTATACAGGGGATCATCTTACCCATGTGGTCATTTTATACATGGTATCGTTCTTTACTTGGTTTCCTCTTATACATTACACATAGGGGTGTCTAATACAGGGGATCATCCTGTAATGGGGTCATCTTATACACGGGGTCTTCTTAAACATGAGGGTGTCATATATGGGATTATCTTTCTTTTACATGTGGTCATTTTATACATGGTATTATCCTTTACATGAGTTCCTCTTATACATTATACATGGCGGTCTCTTATTCATGGGATGGGTTGAGGGGGGGGGGGGGGGGGGAACGGAGAGGTCTTATACATAGGAGTTCTTATACAAGGGGTCTTTTTTTACAAGGGAGAAGGGTCTTATACATGGGTCGTCTTATACATGTGGTTATCTTATACATTGGACGTCTAATATACTGTGGCGTCTTATACCTAGGAGCGCCATACCCGTGGTGTCTTATACACAGAAAAATATTGTATATTTCTTAACTCGGAGGTGTACTGGGTATAGGTTGTTAGGACTTACTGATGTGGTCAATATCCTATGCTGGCAGCATTTACTTCACATAGCATTTCCTGGTACCCATTTCTAGGCTGGGCTGAACCAAGCCCAGGTCATTAAAACAAACTGAATAGTATCTTTTTGGATGTGTCAAACTATGTGAAAATATGTGATCAAAACTAACTTGCTCCAACTGACCAGAAAATAATTTCAGTAGCACTGTGATTCACATATCTGCTCATCAAGACAGTGGTTGCAGGTTTATTAATCCTCTGTGTTCCCATTAACAATGGTACTTAACATGTTCTGTTGTGGTTTACAGCTAGGCTATGACAGCTGCCCCCTTTAACCAAAGGTCTAATTCTCAGGTAGTTGCTTTGTACTAGGTTGAAGATTAAAGTTGAGATTCGACTTCAGTGCATAGGGTTTTATCCTATATGGCTTATTTTCCCTCCGCAGAATGGCTAGCCACCTGCCAAGAGCTTCTCACAAAACACAAACTCTGTAGCTACAGCGGTGATACCAAAGAATCTCTGTAAAAATTGCACTCATGAACTGAACGATGCAGCCATTAAACAAACCTATGACCTTCAGAACGTGAGGCAAGCAGCTTGACCACTTCGCCACGGAGACCCCATCACTTTCTAGTAAATGCTTGTTAAGTATTAGTGAATAGGTATATTCATTCCAACCCTCCCACTTGCCCCCACCCCTCACGCCCCCCGCCCGCACTCTTTTCCCATACATGAGACCCCAGTACCTACACGAATAATTCCAGCTAGCTATGATATAATCTCATATATGTAACTTTTCAGACCCCATATAGAAGTAACTGTCTTGGGACTACTTTAGCCTTTTCTCATCGACATAATTTACAGAAGTTTAACCAATACAGGTGGAATCTGTGAGAATATATGCATTTATGTAATGCTGATGAACACTGTTACAAATGCTGGTCATGACGCTTTGACTAAGTTCAAGTGCGACATATTTACCCTTTTACCCCCAAATTGCCTTTAAAAAAGGAGGGGGGGGGGGGGGGGTGTTAGAAACCTGAATTAATTTTCTAAAGAAGAAAAAGTCATTAAAAAAACATTTTATTGGGGTAACTTATAAGAGATAAAGAACAGGATAGGACAGGCCAAAAATGTTTTTATAAAATGGAAGAATATTTTGTGCAGTAAATCCATGTCGTTGGAGGTTTAGAAAAGAATTTTTGCATGCTATAGATAGAGCCAGTTTTAACATACAGCTGTGAATCCTGGACAATTAATAAACAACCTGAATGATATCTTGATACCTCGGAGATGTTGTTTTATGATATCTTGATACCTCGGAGATGTTGTTTTATGATATCTTGATACCTCGGAGATGTTGTTTTATGATATCTTGATACCTCGGAGATGTTGTTTTATGATATCTTGATACCTCGGAGATGTTGTTTTATGATATCTTGATACCTCGGAGATGTTGTTTTATGATATCTTGATACCTCGGAGATGTTGTTTTATGATATCTTGATACCTCGGAGATGTTGTTTTATGATATCTTGATACCTCGGAGATGTTGTTTTACAGAAGAATCCTTAGCATTCCTTGGACAGCTGAAGAAGAGTAACCCAGATGTTATGAAAGAGGCAGATGTTTGAAGACAACTTATCACAAACATCAGAAAGAGACAGTCATCATTTTGTGGTCATGTTATGAGAACAGGGAAAATTGAAAATGTTATGTCCACTGGACAGATTTGTGGAAAGAGAGACTGAGGAAGACAGCACGAGGAGATTCTTGACCGACTTTTGTCATGGCATGGAGGGGTGTCACCACACGAACTGATACATGCAGTTGCGGATCACAGATTGTGGAGAGGCATGATCGCCAACGCCAGTCGGCAAGGCACTTGGTGATGAAGAACTAATACATTGTTTTAAAATTTATATAACTACATTTTTTTTTAAATGTTAGTTTCAAAATATAAAAAGATATAAAAAAAAGAGTAATCAATAGACAAGTACAAAGTAAAATATTAAATGGAATTCATTCCCCAGGGCAAAGAACAAAGAGGTATCTGGTGACTCAGCTGTGCCCCTGTTACCTCCATCAGTGAGGCTTATGAGATTTAAGTCAACCTGGCTTTCAAAAAAGCTATTAGGGTCACAAGGAATCCCCTCTAAATGCTATATTTAGTAAATATATTCTTATCTGGACCTGCTAAACATTTATGTAGGTGTAGATAGAGCCAGAGGCATTTAGTTACGTATTTAGAGAACAGGTCACTGCAGAAAGGGTCATATATCAGAATTTACAAGGCTGTGTCACAATCGGAAGTGATTAGATTTAGAATCTTGGTATGAAAGAGCGGAGTTACTAAACAACTGTTCTCACCATGAAAAGACAGCCAAAACCTCAGTGGATAGACTCGCAGAGATGGAGACAACTCTATGTCCACTTTGCCACATCTGACGAGACTCGTTAAGTTGTCTCCCCCACAGAGGGACCTTCGTACAAATACAGAGCTCTCACCATCACATGATCGACCAGACACGGTCAAGCCTCCATCACAGTTGTCAGTGGTGCCTGTAGAGCTGCTGAAAATGAAAAGAGCCAGCTATACTAACTTAGATAATGTCTAATGGATATTACCTTTCTTCAACACATAGTTTGACTCATATTTATTGCACTAGCTATAGCCTATGATGAAGTAATCAGTAATGAAACCAACCGTTCGGTGTGTATCAAGGGTTGTGTTCACATTTCATAATTTTGACATGCCTATTTTGGTTCCACTGTGTGTAATTTGGTAGCAGACATGTTTGCATTTATTTTAACTACGGTATGAGTGTTAGACCATTCAGAAAGCAATGGTAAACTACCGGATATAAAAACTGCCTAATAAAAAAAAATAAAACTACAAATATTTGTTTGGGTTGGTTTGTGACATTCTGTAAAGCAGGGATTCCCACCCCATACAGGACCATCCTCATATGTTTAGCCTGGCTCCCAGGTCGACCCAGCCTTGAATAGAAACCAGGTATTTACGAGGTCCTGGGAATTAAAGACGGCAGGTATGATGCTGACCACATCACCCTGCAAGTGCCAATTGATCTATAAAATATAGATCTAACCCTATATGTGCGATATGCCTTAAGGCATGGAAAAGGGTCCTTTATTTTTAAACCATATGTTCAACAGACTCCAATCCATAGGGATTACACATACTGTAATACAAAACACATTCATACCTGACTGCAATGTCATGTAGAGACAATACAATGACATTGTCGTTTGGTGTTTCTATCTGCCATTTACAAGGGGTATAGTCAGTTGTCACTGCAGGATATCCAGGACTTTGAATGTATCCAGAACTGCCCCTCATTTTCACAACACTTCCATTGCATGACTTGGATCGGATATGACTTGCTGCAATTAGTAAAAGAATGGATCATCCGTAATATGGTTGCCTTAAAAATTACAAATTGTTTCAATATTATTGGAGCAAAATCATCATCATTATGTGCCATGCTGATAAGCATAGGCTATCATGTTTCGTCATTTCACTTGATTACCAGAATCACAGATCAGGTTAGTGTTCTTGTCTTGGCCCATCCATATAGCAAAATCATTAAGTATTCATCTCTTTGCACTTCCCTTGCTCTCTTTAAATAAATTGTACCAGTCACCCCGATGATATAGAATCAGCATCATATGTTCCAAGGATATACTTCCAAGGATACTTACAAGGAAGATGTGGCTTCTTAGAAGACAACAGAGAATATCATGGAATGATAGAAAAACTAATATGCCACTGGTTGTTTTTTCCCAGCTTGTCTGTCTGGAACAATATATCTCAAGTGAAATATTTCTAATAGTTAATGATACAGTTTCTGAAAAATAGAGAGGAAGCTCTAGTAGCACAGTATCCAGCATGCTTGACTGCTGGTCACAGGTTCAGATCCCCATTCAGCCAGATTTAAAAAAAAAAAAATTTCAAATAAATACATGGGCTCTAAGGCTGACCTAGCTTTTTTGTTTTAGTATCCAGAAGCAGTGAGTTGTTAGCCCTTAGGCTCCGTATTATGGATATCACAACCCTTCGGCCTTGATTCCGTGATAAATACCGTAAATCTAGGAGAAATGTGGCTTTTCTGCCTACCCCCGGGCATGAACCTTGACCTCAAGGAGTTCATCACCCGGTCACGGCACAATCCGGTTTAGCCAACTACCTAGACAGACAGGCGTTGACCTACCTTAAAATGGGCATCAGGAACTGTTCTTCTTTTTCTGGTGTTCACTGGCTGTAAACTCTGGTGGAAAGTTCTGGCTGTTCACCCACTCCTGGACATTGGTCTTTTTCTTCGTGTTCACTGGCTGTTAAACTCTGGTCAAAAGTTCTGGTTGTTCGTCCACTTCTGGACTTTGATCATGTTACAGAACTTGAGCGTTTTGCATGCACGTCCATTGTACAGGTCTGCCTTATTTGTGTACCGCCTGATGGTTCCTTTACTTTCAAGCAGATGCACTCCAACTTTGAAGGAAATTGCTCTAACTGGTCTTCTTTAATGGCATGCTTGTTGGGAGGACAGCACGATCATTCTTGTTTCCCAACAATCGGGTCCCAGAACCCACATGGAAAGGAATAGTTCTGGGAAGTAAAGATGAGTTTCTTAAGGCCAAGGAGTCACTTATATTCTGTACTCATCTTCATGCTGGTTGATCCCTGCCCCTCTTTCCTGGTATCATGCTTTCTGCTTGATCATATATTTATCACGTTATCCATCAGGTGCTGATTTGCCCATACAACAATGGGGTTAAAGCCATATTCACAATATATTACATGGAGTGAATGTCAGTCCTTCAATTTTTATTTTACATTACAAAACAAGCAGACAAAGTGCTATAAGTGTATTTTGGGTTCTCCTTGCAATAACGGTCGCTACTTGGACGGCGACGGCCGCTTAGTCGGAGTTCAGTCCCCTGGCTGCAGTGCAATTACGGAGTGGACAAGGCAGGAATCACAAAACACAGTGAGTTCAACATGGCGTCTAGACCACGTGCTGCGACTCACATTAGCCTAACCCTAACCCTAACCCAAACCCTAACCCTACCCCTAAGTATGTCATTTGTGTTGTTCCCTCTTTTCCGACCGTTATTGCAAGAAGAGCCGTATTTTGCTATAAATGTAGGTACTAAAACCCACTAACCATCAACACACAGGTAATGGACAACCAATGACTGTCTATACTGAGGGCCGCACACCTTGGACGGGTCACATGACTCTTTGCCCATACAGTCCCGTTTCATATTCTCAAATGCCACGTGGTTCTTCTCCAGCATCCAGTTGGTGACATCAGATATCAGGATCAGTGACTGGTTGCACACGATGGAATTCTCTTCGTTGCAAGCCCGAATGCAGTTTATGCTGCAGGTGGCTGTAATATAAAGCATTCGGTCAGTATAACTTACGGAATCATGTAGGTGTTTGTGTTCCTCAACCTTGTTTTTTTTTTCTGACACCAGTGGCTCACCTGAATATTCGAAATTTTTCTGTGGCCAACCTAAACAGTGTAAATTGTTCTGTGGCCCACCTAAACAGCGGAAATTGTTCTGTGGACCACCTAAACAGTGGAAATTGTTATGTTGCCCACCTAAAAAGTGGAAATTGTTCTGTGGCCCACCTTAACATTGGAAATGGTTCTGTAACCAACCTAAACATTGGATATTGTTCTGTGGCCCAACTTAACACTAGAAATTGCTTTGTTGCCCACCTAAACACTGGAAATTGTTTTGTGGCCCACCTAAACACTGGAAATTGTTCTGTGGCCCACCTAAACACTGGAAATTGTTTTGAGGCCCACCTAAACACTGGAAATTGTCCTATTACCCACATGAGAGCTAACTAAACACGAAACACAAAATCTAGACAGCAGTTTATTTGTTAAATCCGATGCCACAAAATAACAGTTTTCAGCAAATATGATGTCTGCTACCTCTTTAAGGTTAACAAATCTTGTCTGTGTGCCTGGAGCATTGTTTCTCACACACACAGTACTACAATAACATCCATTTGATTTTTCCGTTTGATTTCTATTAATGAAATGCCAGCAAAAGTCTTTTCACATAAATATGGTGTCCTTCAGGTGTTAACCCTACAGACTAGAGAAAAAAACCATCACATGATTACAGGTATATGGTTTGGCAGCCCATGAGGACTTTTCCATGGCCCACTGGTGAGCCGTGGGCCACAGGTTGAAGAACACTAGCTTAAGGGTTTAAAAACTCAGTTTCAGAGTAAATAAGTAAAGGATCCTTTTCCCCACCTTCAGGCATACTGGGCATATAGGGCTAGACCTATATTTTACAGACCAACTTGCACTCGTGGGGGTGATGTGGTCAACATCACAATGGCCAACTTTACTTCCCAGGACTTTACCTGGCACACTTTTAATGCTAGGTCGACCTGGAAGCCAAGGTCATTTCTGAAAAAGTCCAGCTCTGTCAGGGCTTGAACCTGTGACTCTCTTATCCGTAAGCAAGCGTCTAGCCGCTACACCATGGCAGCTCTCTTCAGTTTCATAATTCCAACATTCCATTCGATTCAGCAGTATAAAATTTTGGCAGTAGATTGATTCATGTTTAACTTTGACAATAATGTGATCGTTGAACCATTCATGTTTTCAGTAACAGCAGGTAATTTCTTTAACTTTTGTCACTCCTGCAAATTTTACTTTAACTCTTTCTGTCAAAACAAATGTACAGTGTGTGATCAGCTACAATCAGTGTGTGTATCAAACAACGAAAGGTGTGTAATAATATATGTTACATTTGGTTTGAGCATGCAAAAGAAATCTGGCAACACATGCTAACATACAGCAGAATATATATTGTCTCTCTGATAATAATACCCTCATGCTCTTTCTATTGTTTATATTATCTTCTTCTTAAGTCTTGGAAACAAAATCTTATTGTTCATAAACAGTTAAAGTAGTCAATGTTAGTTGATACTACGCCAAAGTACCCTAGGTGCTAAATCACTGCTTTAAGAAATTGTGTGTGAACATTGAGAGAGCACTTAAAAAAGAAATCAAATTAAAATTGTGTAGTTGTCTGAACGACATCATGCATGACCTGAACTTCAAGGAGAACTGGATCGTAAAACAGCATCCGGTTCCGATTGATTAGATATTTTGGACACGGCAAGCGCTATGGTGATCCAGAGAGAACAGACAGTGCTGGAGGATGCACTTTCCAGAAAACGAGACATAGGTCGACCTCTGCAAAGGTGGATACATGACAGTGAAGTTGTATTGGCTTTGAAAGCACATGGTGTCGGAGAACTGACCAGAGAAAGAGAGACTTTCAGGCATGCCGTGAAGAGAGAAACGTTCCTTCCAGTGTGGGTTCCGGGGCCCTATTATAGGGAAAACAAAAATAGACCCACTACCTACCCAAAAGCATGTTGTAAGAGTCGACTAATTGAGAGCCTTATTCAAAGTCGGAATGCCTCTGCCTGAGAGGCAAGGAACCAGCAGTCTGAATACAAATGAGTCAGATCTGTCAAACGGATGCACACGCAAAACTCATGTTCTGGAAGAGGACCGTAGTCCAGAAGTGGATGAACAACCATAACTTTTCACCAGAGATTACAGCTGGTGAACGCGAAGGAGAAGAAGAAGAAAAAGAAGAAGAAGAAAAACGTTCTGTAAAGGCCATGCAAACTGATTTGAATCGATCTGATTTTCGTGAAAAGTAATACTTCGTTTTGATGTTTTCGAGTAAGAATTCACACGTGGGCCTTTGACACATTGTAAAGTGACAAATACCAGCCCTGGAAGAAAAGGGGAGAGGGGGAAGCGCTTAGGTCAAAATCGCACCAAAAACAATTCATTTACGTGACTTTGGCGTGGTGCCAAAGAATAAATGACAGAAGGTTTCAGGTTTAAAGTTTGAACAACAGATCAACTTCATAGATAGTAACCCATAAGTGCTCCGTTCTTCTCCATTGTGATCGATTTTGTAAAGCTAACATAAACTGTTTGTTGTTTCTTACCAACTTTTTTTTCCCTATAATTTTCTACTCCTTTTAAAAACTTCTTCTAACTCAAGTCTGCGTCCGAAGAAGCTCAGTACAGTGCACAGGTTCTGTTGCACCGGCGAGGATCTACTTTGGGTAGATTTTTAACTCCAATTTTTACCCGGGCAGCGCTGCTAGACTACTCTTTTCATTTTCAATTGCCAATGGTTTTTTTACGTGCGCAACAATGCACACGGGCGTCCGATCTTACTACCCAGAGACCAGGGGGAATTACTAGAAGTAAAAAATCCCAGCCCTTACCGGGGATTGAACACAGAACCTCTAGCACTCGAGGAGAACACCATGCCTTGAGACCACGCAGCCTCACTAAATGACAGAAGAAGATCGACTAACAGTCCGGATAATGTGCATTCATATAAAAACGGTGTTGTTCTTCTTCAGCATTCTGAGCTCTTGAGGTTCAATGCTGCAGATATCACCCGCCCTCCGATGAACTCTGAAGCTGAAATTCTCTTTCCAGTTGGTGACTCCAAGTGTGTGAAGGTCTGCCTGTATATTATTTCTTCACCGTCGTCCAGGTCCGCCTCGTGGTCTACGACCATTCAACTCCTTTGTGTACACAGTTTGTACTCTGTCATAAAGTTTTCTTCGAACATTTTTTCTCTGGTTAAGCCAGTGGCTCTCAAACTACTTAATACCGCGACCCTTTAATACAGCTTCTCGTGCTGTGGTAACTCTCAAACATATAATTATTTTCGTTACTTTTTTATAACTTTGATGAGTATGTGTTTTTCCGTGGTCTTAGGCGACCCCTGTGAAAGGGTAGTTCGACCCACACACAAAAAGGGGGTGGGAGTCGTGACCCACAGGTTGAGAACCACCAGGTTAGGCAATAAACATATGGCGAGTTGAATGGTGCACGAAAACTAAAGCAACCTCTGAATGTCATATACTTTCTGTGACCTAATTTTGGGGAAAAAAAAAATTTTTTTATTAGTTGCCTATCCATTACAAGACGTTGCAGAACCAACTCCAGCACTTTCTGTCTGTAGTGGCTTTTCTACGTTTTTTTACGTCCAGTAGTTTGCCATTGCTTTTGGACGGTCGGCTCTCGGTACCACGGTCGAAACCGTCGCAAGACAAACCGTCCGCAGCAGGAATCGAACCCGGCACCCCGACATTACGAAGCGCGTTCGCAACGCCTAAGCCACAGATGCCGACCCATTTTTTTGGGAAAAAGGAAGAACATACCCACTGCCTCTCAACAAGCATGTCAAAGGAGTTGACTAATTGGGAGCTTACTTCAAAGTCGGAGTACATCTGCCTGAGAGGCAATGAACTAAAAGACTGCATACAAATGAATTAAACATGTAAAACGGATGTGCAATGAAGCACTCAGGTTCTGGAATTCGACCAAAGTTCAGAAGTGGACGAACAACTAAAACTGTCAATGGGATCATCATATTATCTAGTGAAACCACAAACAGTCGATGCATGTATCGACTGTGGTTTCCACGCTTCCGTTTAACACCGCGGTTCTCAGTCTGTGGGTCGCGGCCCTTCTCTGGGTGGAACCACCTGGCAAAACATCGCAAGACACACATTCCTTCAAGTTATAAAGTAGAAACGAAAATAACTGAATGATAGCGGATCGCCACAACATGAAGGAGTGTACAAAAGTGTCGTCACATTAAAAATGTTTAGAACCCCTGCTTTAGATCAACGTGAATCACCCTCTTCCCCCCACCCCTTTTTTTCCCTCACCCCTTTCCAGTAATCTAGCTGACTGTTAACATTTTCCATCAACGGCTCACCTCAAATATTTTACATATGTATATGTTCATGTTTAATGACCGTCCATATAAATCCACAAGCCGGGTATGCATACCAAATTATCATAATTTAGTACTAACTTGGTGCTATGGAAGATGCTCTCGACAAGTGACTAATGTTTTGTGGAGAGAAGGGGGAGATGGGAGTAGTTAGCAGTGAACAATGACTATAAGAATACCACACCAAAATAAGTTTGCAGCTTCTAGACAACAGTTTCTGACACACAAAAACATACGAAAAATGAGCACTAGGCTTTCTGTTACAAAACTATTTTGCTTAAATGTAAGTAATTTATTCAAGAATCGGCCACTTACTTTGTTAAAATTTGCTTTCTTCTTCTTCTGCTCTTTCTTTCTTCTTCTTCTTCTTCTTCTTCTTCTTCTTCTTCTTTTTTTTTTCTTCTTCTTCTTCTTCTTCTTCTTCTTCTTCTTCTTCTTCTTCTTCTTCTTCTTCTTCTTCTTTTGTTCGCTTGAAATAAAATATCTATATCTGCAATGTTGTCTCTAGTTTAACATTCACTGTCTTTTGTAATTCCTTCAGCGAGCCGTAAAATTTGCTTTCATT